TACATCAATCATCAAAATCGTTATATCTTCACCTGGCGTCATAAGATGTTGCAACAGATGATAAGTGAAAACACCATTTCGCCCGTTTATCGATGTAATCTCGACGGTCGTTTTCCCAGGAGTACAGGCAAAAGCAATCAATGAGTCAGCTAGAGCGGACATTGGAGCCATTCCTATAGGTGAATCTACACTAGTTATGCTTCTATGCAAATTTGGCAACCGATACGATCGGCAACAATCAAGAAAAAATACAATGACGAAAGCGTTTTTAGCAGAGATTAGTTCAAGAGTTCGTTGTGCATTTATAGCTCGATATTTCAAATCGATGAACTCTGTAATGACATTATCATCGCATGGAATCAAATAGTTCTGATCTTCCCATTGCACTCCATGGCCAGCGAAGAAAAAGAGAATAAAATCATCAGGCATAATACGGTTCACGAATCTTTCTATTCCGTTATTCATATCCTCATAGTTGGCATCCACTTCAATGCGCACACGAAATTCAACTCTTGCCAGTTGATTGCTTAAGTCTATAGCATCATTAACACAATTGGTGAGCGGAGATTGCGTATAGTTATTGTTTCCAATCACAAGGGCAAGTTTTCGTCGCTCGGCACTTACAACTGCTTCGAGTGCTGCGCACATGACGAACTGATGTTAATCTAAAGCATATACTTATGAAAAAGCTGAATGGTTTACAATGTCTCATATTTGGAATAAGAAGATAACACAAAATGCTGAAAATTTGAGTACTCAGAGAATACAATTGATGATATAAAATAAATAAAGCTCGATATTCACTCAGAATGAGAGTAGAATGAAATGGCACCAAATATTGTCAATTATCTTTATATTACTCAAAGATTCAATTTAGACATTAGTAAATCAGAGAAAACTTAAGCTTTCCTCTCAAGTATAAACCTCTCAGGTACTTTCTAGTCGTAAAACCATGTTCGATCATGGGGTTTCGTAATGCTCTATCAGAGAAACATAAGAAACCTGCTGTTTATCATGATGACAAAAATGATCGACATATCTTCTCAATAAAGTCAACATCATTTCCACTATTCGTACAAGTGACCGACAATAGTTAAGTTTTGGGGGTATCGTCCAAGCCGAGTCAAATATTTTTCTGTAAACAAATCTGAAGCTGGCCAACTAAAAAATATCGTCATCCAATTCGAACTAGTAGTGTAGTAGAAGAAATCAACCTCACAGTAATTTTCAATTTTCTACTGTTTGTTTCATCTGATTGAGTTTATATTAGATGTCCTGTACAATTCTCTACAAAATGACGTATATATATATATATATAGAAAGAGAGAGAGCGAAAGTGTAGTCATGAGACTTGAGATGCCATCGTAATTAAACAGAAACCGAAACGACTTCAAATTTTTTAAAAGTTAAAATTTTCTAAAAATAATGTTGAACATGAAAATTCATGTCTAAAGTAACAGAAAACAAACTCCAAGTTGTCTCTTGGTACATTTTAAGATTATCTAGTCGTTGAGATAAAATTTATTTCATTTTCATTCATTTGATATCGTAAAGGTACCTAGGGAATAATTCACACCGAAAAGTTAAAACGACGATCGAGGACAGCTTCAGCGCTTCGATTAGTTACAGGAAACGTACAATAAATAACTCATTTTTCTTCAAAATAACGCAAGAATAAGCCTGATCGCTTCATTTTTGAGTGAGCATTGCTCATTTCACAAATAGCCAGAAAATGTACGATGATGGCCATAATTGAGCGTGTACTCCTACAAGATGACACTATTTTTGTTGTAATTTCAAAGTAAAGAGAGATCACTTTTTCCAAGCTTGAGTAATGAATAGGTTAGTCTTTTTTTTCTATGTGTACTAAAGTTCAACTCTATATAACGTGGCATTCAGTTTATATTTAAAAGCAGTAAAATAGAATGATTCTCCTACCGAACAAAACTGAGCATCCATTTTCAGAATCTAGCGGTATTAAAACACGTGTGTGCATGTCTATGTGATTTCTCTTTCCTTGTAACAGATTATCTAACATTTTGGACTGCATACGTATATACTATAATAGTACTGTTTTTTCATATTCTATTGCAAGAAGCGTTGTTTATTTGAAAAGGACTCTTATACAACATGAATGTTTTAATGATCTTCAGCCAAAAGTGATATAAAAGTTTTTGAAAGCTGATTCACAACGTCAGATAGCTTCTGACATGATGATTCCAAGAACTTCTCACAATCACAATCATGATCATAATACCTACCAACGATACTGATTTGTATCGAGAGGGAAAAGACTCGACAAAATTAAATGACAGGGAGATGATATGGTAAAAATAAAGTGTCTAATAGGCAGAAGTCAAACAGAAAAAATGACACTACCGAAGTCGGATAGCTCTTTTTTAGGTGTATAAGATCAAGTACTACCAGACTAACGAAATGGTTTTGGCACGAAACTAAAAAAAACTCTCACCAGAAATGTGATTATGATTATAGATGACTCTGATAAATGCTGCTGATTGAAGTGTGTTGTTTTGTTCTTTTTTTTCTTAAAAGGATTTCTAACAATGCAAACTAGCTTTATATCGCTTCTAAGGTGCCCCATATTTCACCGTTTGATTTGATTAGCTTCGAAGAAAGAAAAAAAAATACTTATATTTTTCCAAATCATTTCCTCAAGTTGAAAAAAGAGTGGCATGTAAAGCATGGTCCTTTTCCGTGCACAGTTATGTTACGGAAACGTCCCGCTTTTTCTTTTCTTTTTTGTTTTAGCAAAGCTGAAGTTGTATAATAAATTATCGCTCATTTACGCAGAACGTCTCACGATATTCTCGATGAAGAAACACACCGTTCTACTCAGCTAAAATCGCAACAATCAGAATGAGAATGTTATGTCTTATGTTGATTTCCGTTCACAGTAACAATTTTCACTTCTGATTTAGATTACTGCAGAATGAAAACTAACATCCTCTCTACTCTAGGAATATCTTTCCATTGCCTTGTGTGATGCATAGGAATAATTGTTGCGACGATGGATTAGAATGGTACGTAATGCAGAAAATGAAAACCATTCTCATCATTTTCCGAATAAATCTCTTTTTGACACAATTCGACGTTCATCTTTTGTATGACAAGAAGAAGAACAGTTCATTGATGGTGTGTTCACAATATTTTTATTCCTTGCATAAATTTGAGATATATTATGTGGAATCTTCTCTCACCATCTCTTTCACTCAAAGTAATGCGTTCAACGAAGGTCTTTTTCTAACCTTTGGCATTGTTGGACGAATTATTTCGGAGAAGAAACTTGATCAATCGTTATCGGATCGTTACAATGATTGCTAGACCAGAATTGTGTGAAAATATTTGATAAAAGTCTCTACTTTTCAATGTTGATTATCTCAATGATTTACTTAGCGTTTTATTATTTTCAGATATTGATATTTACCTAAAGCATTTTACAAGAAATTTTATTTTATGCTTAAATAGTCGATCAAGTAAAGGACTTCTAATTGTTTTATATGAAATGAGACTTTGAGTTAAGGCAATGTTATTTTACATGATAGTTTTTTATGCGGTGCGAAACGTAGCATTTATGTGAACAATCATAAATGTTTTTTCTTTTTCTCTTGCTTAAAATATCTGTCTCTTCCTATTGAAAGTTTGTGTTGTCGATTGCAATAACTTTGAGAATGAAAATACCAAGATGGAATCGATCAAATTCTTTCTTCCATCCTCCAAACAATGTTTCGTTTAGTCACAGATAGCTACACAAAAACAAAAACAAGTTTTTATCTCGCCTTTCGAGATAATTAAAATGAGCATAGCATAAAAAGTTAATTATTATTTTCTTTGAATAGCTAATATTGTTCATGATATTTGTGAACTCATTGGATAATGAATAATGAATCACACAAATAATTCAACAATCGATTGTCAACAAAGTTCTTCAGAAATCAATCACTACTAAATGACACAGATAGCTTTGTTGATGGCGTATGATCTTGTTGTCGAACAAAAAAACCTTCATTAAATAATTCTTCTTCTATTTATTGATAAATGAAATAAAGAAAAGTAAAAAAATTCGAATTTTCTTTTTAGAAACCTTCCTTATATAAAAAACAAGATTATTAATGCTAAACCTCGAATACAAATTAAAAAAATATTATACAAATATGTGCATAAAAGGAAACAATAGGATAGATCTTCTAGTAACACTCTAGACGAGCACATTCTTTAATTTATGAAGCAAACAATAGTAGAAAGTTGGAAGGAGTCCCATTGTCCATTCAGATACCGTTAACTCATATTATAGTCTACAAAAAAAAAAATATACTTTTTCCATAAACAAGGAAAAGTAATCTAGTATAAAAATCTTGTTCATATCATACTTGAATCTGTTAGTTATTGCAATGTTGTTTTAATCACTAGTAGATTCGAATAATTGAAGTTTTTCGTTAGAAATTCATCACCATAATAATCTATAACAGTATCAAATGCAAAAGAAAAATATGAGATATAGTTGTAATCACAAGAAACCTACATTAAAGACAATCAATCTTCTTATTCATGAATCAGATTGACACATTAAAAATGTTTTGAGTTTTAATTATTGTTATCTGTAATTTACTGTAAAAATCAATGCATTTCGAACATTCACATAACACACTCATCACATCAATAATTATACAAAAAAAAACAGTTTCTAGTTTATGTAAGAATAAATTTTTCACATTTGTAAAAATTGATATCAGAGAACAAAATTTCACAATGTTGAAAATGTTTCAGATTTCTATTTTCTTTTTTCTCCTTATAATTTCATCAAAGAATGAATATTCGTCACACACATATTCATTGATAAAAAGAAATCTATCTATATAATATATCCATGTTGTTTTCTTTCTAAACATCAAAACAAGTCAATGTTAATACATTTTATTTTTTTATAACAAACAAAAAATAGATTAAATTGTACATAGAAAAATAAAAAACAAACAAACAATTCAAATCCATTGTGGATTTTCATCAATTGGATGTAAACGTGGAAGAATTGAACGTTTAGAAAAAGGTACAGCTGAATGTCGACGTTTATGTTGATCATAATCTTTATTATATAGAAGACGTTTCAATGGAATAATATTATTATTATTTGGTGGTATAGCTAAAGCAGTTGAATGGCGTTTAGTACGTCTTGGTGTTGATGTATGATGAGGTTTAAGTTTAATTCTATTATGATTTGGAGAATTTTTTGGTGTACTTGTTGCTCGTGCTGATGCAGCAAATAAAAATTTTTTTGATTTTTTTCGACATTCATCATTTGTTGTTGAATGTAATATAACTGGTTTTTGTTTACATGATAAATATGGACAAAAATTTTCTTCATGTGATATTGTTGTTAATTGTGAATTAATTGATATATTTAATGGTTGAATAATATCATTATTTGATTCAATCATACGTAATTCAGATAATAATTGATTAATATGATATTTTATTTGACGTATTCGTTGACGATCATTTGACATTGTTGATATTAATAATAACAATAATAATAGTGTATTGGTCGTCTATACAAAAATACAATATAAAAAAATTTCTTTTATCCGTTAATTTAAAATCTGATCTTTATATCCATTAGATTACATATCAATAGTTTTCAATGACACGATGTCTATTATTATGATTACAGAAAAGAGAAAGATGAGACTAGAAAAAAAAGAAGAAGAAATCGCACAGCTGGATTCTATCTTCAAACAGTTCGGCAAAACGCACATCACATGGTGCCAGGTGATGATGTACTGTACTTGTCATTGCCAGTTGACAAAACTACATAGGAGGTCTAGTCTATCAACATGTATATATATGCGGATCTCATGCCGAGAACAAGCATGGTTGATTAAAGTGATAGAAATAAAATCAATCATTTAATTATTAAAAATTCTAATGAGAATTCAAATATATATGAAAAAAATTTTGATTTAGAAAACTTACATTGAACAATGTACAAGTTGTTTGTATGTGTTGCTAGTTGAAAAATTTTTATTGATTATATTTAAAGAGTAACGATAAAATATTTTCTGTTCTTTTTTTTTTTCTTTTTTCTCTTTCGATTGGATTGGTTCAATTTTTATTTTTTATTTTTTTGCTCTCATAGAGCAGAAAACAAATATCTATTGGCTATGAAGCGAAACGAAAAATAAATCTCTTTCGTTCTATGATCATCACTGAAGCGTGTAAGAACAGCAGCATCATTTCGCACATTATAGTACCCTTATTAGGATAGACAGTGTTGCCGAGTTTGTTTGATCGGCATACAGTATAATTCAATCCCCTAGGCTCAGTAAACATAGAACAACGATCAAACATATGAAATTTTTCTTTGTACATTGTAGTAGTATAATGATTATAGAAGATAATCATTTAAATAAATAAAATAAGAAAAAAAAAGAACATCTCATTCTTTTTTTAGAAGTTATTATTCGATATTTATGAATCTTGCGAGGATAAAGTTTAAATCGTTATATGATAGAATATTGCTTGTGAATAATAAATAATAGTTGAACAATGTAGTTTGATACTTTGAAAATACAAAAGTATCAGATGTACTTGTTTTTGTTCTTTGAAAAAGCTTATAGAAATATGATGAGTCTGTGTAATCTGCGAAGTATCGAAAAATAATTTAGTATCATTTTGGATAGTAAACAATCATGATTTGAATTACACATTTATTTATATACGACTATTTGTCATAGTATTTAAAAACGCTGATAACTAACAAAATTTTAAATAAATATACAAAGACAAGGACAATAACTGTCTGAAAAATCTATGGCAATCAATTTTTTCTAAGTATAAAGACATTTAAATCATGCCAAAAACTACCGTTTATCATAAGTGTTTCATCTTTCACTAGAAACAATTGAATGGATTAGATTAAATGTCGGAAATACTATTAAATCTCTTTTTGAATGTTTGAAGATTACATAGTGTAAACTACAATGTTATAATATTTGGTAAGAATGAATGTTAAGTATAGAACGTCGAATTTGAATATATATATATATATCTTTTTTTTTTTGACACTCTGCTTGTTATTATTGTTGCTAACGCTATTCACATTCTCGAAACAGATGTGCTTTTCACAAGCTTTCTCCACCCACTCATATGATGATGGTGTAATTGATACATCCATTTACAGGTATGTTGACAATATGCCACGAGCAGTCACTCATGATAATGATGATGGATATGTTCAAGCGATCATAATAATATTTTATTATTGTTCTGATGTAATAGATCTTTTCTCGGTAACAAAAAAAAAAAATTTTTGTTATTCTTTTTTATGCATCTGTTTATTTCTAGTCTAAACACACTTAACGAAAAGAGAAGTAACGTTTTCGACACGTGTATAGTAAAGACGTTTGAAAATCAAATCAAGCTGTGATTATGCCACTACTACTAGAGCGGTATGCATCACAAATTTTTTCCGCTTCAAAAAAGAAAAGAGAAGAGTAACGTTCGCTTGTCAAGTCAATACATTAATATGGTGAGTAGTAGCCGTAAGGCTTTTTTTTTGCTGTTAACAAGAAAAAAGGAAGAACTCGAGAAGCAAGTCATGAATAAATATGTAAACCAAGCACGCACGCGTTATCAAATACAGCGAGACCTATTCCATTAGTAAATGGACGCCTACTTATTATAAATATTAACTAAAAAACAAAAGAAAAGAAACAGAATACGTGGCTGTCTACTACAAGTAGGTGTCTGTTAATAAAAAAAAAAGAAAAGAAAGACAGTCGAATATTTAAACCTAACAAATCATTTTAATATTGAAAACAGAATCATGAATAGTATTCAACGTCGTTTGAAAAATCTCAATCCAGTTCCACCAATTCATACGATTGAAACAACACCACCATCACCACCACCACCACCACAATCTACTACTGTTGTTGATCCTCGATCACCATCAGCAAATATAGCAAGGTATAAAAGAAAATTTTCTTTTCAATCATTAATATTCACTTTTTAGAACACCTGTTGATTTACAAACTTATCATTTACCAACTGCTCCAAAGATGAATATCAAATAATCATATATCGTTTTTTTTTTTCTAATTTAATACAATAAAAAATAAGAAAGATGAAAGTTTTGACTTGCTGTGCATAGACAAGAAAAAAAAAATTCTAATGAGCAGTTCATTAAAAATATTGCTGTTCATCAAACAAAATCATGCGCGCTTACGCTCGTCACATTATGATGACAATAAATGCAAATTAAAATATTTTAACATACAATCAATTTGATTGATTGATATCGATCAAAAAAAAAAACCTAATAATAACAATCGAACCATGAATAGATTTATTTTGTTAAAGAGAAACAAAAAAGAAAGTTGTGCGGGTAAATATTTTTCGTTTTGATATCTAAGATTAATATTATGCTTTTAACGATACTTGCTCGAATGTCAAATGATGAACAACGTTTACAATTATTACAAACACTTCGAAATAAATTAACTAATTATAATCTTAATTGGTTAGATATACGAAATATAATTAATTTATTTTCTAAAAAAGATCAAATACGTTTTAATATTTTACAATTTCTTCTTTTAAATATAAATAATTTAACAAATAAAATTAATATTGATGATTATATTTATTTATCTAATCAATGTACAAATAATAATGAACAATTAAAATTTTATTTATTTGAATTAATATATAAAAAATTAAATATTCAAAATAAAAATGATTTTGAATGTATTATAAATTTATTTCAAACAATAAATATCAAACAAAAAGTTGAAAATATGATTCGAATTTATCAATCGGATTTGATCATCGATAAACAAGAAGGTATAATGAATTGGAATAACTCTTTTAAAAATAGAAAAACAAAAATAGATATCAATGTTGAATTAAATATTGTATAATTATGAGCAGACTTTGACATAGAATTTCATAATAATTTTATTAGCAAAGACTATTAAGAACTTCAAACATGCCTTGCGGCTATACTGTGATCTATTTAATCTTTAATGTACTTCTTCTTTGAAGAGTACTAGTCGTTTCCGATTAAATATTGTTATCGTGAGTCTGTAAAAGCCAACCTTTTAATAGTTATTTATCAAATGATGTTCGAATTGTCAAAACCAATGTAACTCAATACCAAAGGCGTCGGCGAGGAAGCACTTCGTAGACAATTTTCAAAAGCAGAGAGAAGCATTGTGTGAATGGATTTTAGAAGCAGTGAAGGAATGTCACGCTCCTACTTCTTACTTCATTGTAGTTTGGAAGTCATTCTATAGATCAAATCTTGGTTTTTTTTTTCTTTTTGTATGTGAATCTACAATATTTGAATGAGTGATTCCATTAAGATGTTGACTGTCGAAGATGAGAAGAAAATTTAATAAAGTCTAAAATTTGATTGGGTAAATTATCCATGGATATCTAACCATTTTTGAGGAAAATTTTTTCTTTTTATCGAATGTTTTGTGCTGATTAGATAGAAAGTGGATTAACAATGTTTAAAACTTATATTTTACTCAAAGATAGGAGACCACACGATTAGCACAGACTTCAAGGGGCTCTTGCTTTCAATGTATTGTAGCCGAGATATAAAATTTTTAAGGCGCACGAATTTTGTATAAATATATTAAAATCAAGAGGACTTTGAAGATTGTGCTAATCTATTGACCTTCTTCTTTGACGTAAAATATGATCTTTAAACATTGTAAGAATCTAGAAAATGACCGGAATCTTTAGTATTTCAGATAGAAGTTATACATTTTTCTTTAGCCAAACCTATTTTCCATCTAATCAACACAAAAAATTCTATAAAAATTGTTTTTTTTCCCACAAAAGTGGTTTGATATCGATGGATGTACTCTATTTTAATAGTTTTTTTTTCATACACATGTCAGTAGTTGCTGATCAACATTTATCATCTCTTCAAATGACATCACATTCAGAACAAATCATAGCAAATAATATTCTTTCACCAACATCATCATTCGTTCAAGAATTATCTCTTGCACCATTAAAACGTAAATATTCATTTGATAATAAATATCAAGATTATTATTGTCATCAAATTATTACACCATCATTAATTAAACAACAAGATGAATTTATTCAACAACGAGATTTATTATCATCAATTTCTATAAATTCATCGAATTCATCACTTTCATCAGCAAGTGATGAAAATATACCTATACGTACACGTTCATTCATGGTTGCTATCAAGAATACATTTGAACGTTTAAAAGAAACATCAAGTTGATAGAGTTCTTTCCTTTTTTTTACTTGAACCAGTTGCTTCCCGCCCCATGAGATGATCAAAAAGCTAATGCATGTTCCACTCAACTAATCGATTTGTTCTCTCTTTCGTTTTCTTCTCATCATCTATCAATATGAATGAGCTAGTGTTTTATTTTTCTAACTGCCTGTCTACTTTTCTTGAGTAGAGAACACTTATGTCGGATGCCACTTAACGGTTTTCTTCTGTTCACTCAAAGATGACGACAAAAAGTAACTTGGAATAAGTGTTTATTCGTGTGATCATGGCAAAAAAAAAAAAGGTAATGAGAAAAAAGATTTTTTTTTTCCTTAGAATATAACGATAAATTCCATATTAATCACTATACATGCATCAATTATTATCACCATAGTCAATCTATATTTTAAAGATGCCAATTGAGCACGTATTGATAGAGATGAACAGAATGAGATAGAAATATTTCATTCAACTAAATGACAATATGATACATGCTACGAATGATAATGCTAAACACAAAAGATA